GAGTAACCTACATACTCGTGTTTTCATACCCTAGCACTGCATGTCTCCCTTCAGATTTGGACGTCTGTCAAACCTTGACTTCTATGTACGACACTCATCCTTCTTAGAACAGTGTCGGTATGTCTCGTATTGTTACCGATGCCGTCATTTCTGTAGCTTTTGTCTTTTAAGATCATGCTAGAGATTTTGCTAAGAAGCCAAAACTAAGGAGTGGTGACTTCAGTGAATGGTTCAAGGAGTAGTGACTTGAATGGTTCGCAGTTGAGTCTGTTTCGTATAACATAAGACTTGTTAGGCCTCTTTGTGAACCCAGATGAGTGACTAATATTTGACTGAAGTGAATGTAAATGACTGGACCTCTTTCATTCACTAAGAATAGCATTGAATTGAATTGAATAAACCGATTGAATAACACTGTATGGGAAGCAAAGACGGCAAGCCAATTGGTATCTTTACTCAGAAGAGGACCTAGACAAAATGGTTTCTTCACATGTCACACCGTTACCACTTGGTGGGTGGCCTCCTTAATATGCTCAGCTCAAAGCTGACCTTTTCTTGGTATGATATCTTGAAAATCAGGAACCTGCGAATGGGAAAGCATAAAAATGAAAAATAAGGAAACTTTTTGGAATTTTTATTCTTTTTGCCGAAGTTTTGTCATGTTTGTGCATTTTGTGCTTACTCTTTCTCTTCAAGGGGCGTCTAGGGCGTAACTATGTCGTGCAATGCTTTGGAACGCTAAGTAATAGCCTCAGCCGCACACTGACCATGGTCGAATCAGTACGCCAGCCTTTCATCGGGAAGTGATTGAAAAAGCGGTCGAAGTTTCTCAGGATCTCCAACCTTCTTTTCATCCTGAGAAGACGTTTTGTCGTATTCGCCTTGATTCAAAAGACCAAGCACTATTCCCTAGTTTTGCTCGTTTTCTTTCTCTTTACGATACCAGTAGCAAGTAGTTTAAATCTCTCTATTCTGTAATGAGTTAAGTTGGATTTGTTTCATCTACCATCGGACTTGATATGCCTATTTTGAACCCAGAAGAGTGGCTAGAAGTTGAATGAAACGAGAGTGAATGACTGAACCGTTTTCATCGGTGAGCCAATAAACTGGATAACACCGTATAGAGAGCAAAGTCTTCAAGCCAGCCATCCAGCCGGCCACTCAGAAGAGGATCTCGAACTCTATCTCTACATCTCATGTCGCTACCGCTTGGTGGCTGTCCTCCCTGACCTGTTCGAATCAAAACTGACCTCTCACCGGTATTGTCATCCGGAAAGCATGAACCTTCAAAGGAGATACCGTGGAAACAAAAAATTAGGAGAAAGTTTTGAAAATTTTTATTCTTTTGCCGAAGCTTTTGTCACGTTATAACTAACAAAAGCCACATGTTTTCGCACAATACTCTTCAGCGATCTGCTCGTAGCCCTCGACTTTGCAGAGTACCTGCCCTTTTGGGTTCTTAGATGTCATGAATTCGCAGAATCTCGCCCCTGCTCTAGTCTCAACTGCCTTATCGGAGCACTCCTGAAATTGTACGTTTGGGAGGTGTGATTCATTTAGAATTAGATAGAGCTTATGAGATTCCGTGTGAAGGTGAAGTTTTACATTTTTGAGTTATTCAGGTGATTTTCTACATGACTATATGCTCAAGTCGCTAGTGCAACATTAGAGTGATTTCCATACTTACTTGAGTGACTTGGGCGTCACTTGTGAAGGCATTGAGCACTAGAAGAGCGCAGAGGAAGTAGAAGAACATATTCAAAGCTGTTGAGCTTGTGATTGTAGTTCACAGAGGGCATTATTTATATGGAATTATTGGGGTGTTTGATCAGTGAAGAACATTGGAAATAGGCATCAGTGAGCGAGTGAAAGTTCCGGCAAATAGTACGGGATCTGTTTTTGTACTACGGAATCGATAAAGAGCAAAATCATCAAGTGCAGCTCTTACGGAAAAACTACCTAACTAAGAATATGGTGAGGATTTTCAAGAAACTGTTCATTTGTTAAACTAAAACTGTTGTCACATTACCACATACAAAGATCGCATGATTTCGCATAATCCTCTTCTGCTACTTGCTCATCTCGGCTATGACTTGCTCTTTTCCAAGTTTTCCGAATGACCGCACATAACCTCTGAACATCTGGCCTTCACGGGTCTCGATTGCCTTTCCCCGTGATCCTAAGAAGAAGTAACACTACCCACTAGTATTGGACAGTATCGTGTAGTCTCTGCTGTCTTTAAAAAAGAGATGGTGACAAGAAATAGCAGCGAGGAACTCCGCGCAAGGAAGAATACTCGGGGGACATTCTCATCAGAACAGACATAGTCATGTATTTTTCAAAGCGCTCATCTTGAACCTTTTTCAAAGTCACAGCTTCGTTTCGGCGATTATTCCATGCCTGTTCATGTAGAGAAGTGAAACTGCTCCCTTTTCAGCTAAACCTCCCGTAGACAATTGTTGAAGCTGAATTTACATTCATGCGTTACTTTAAATCTGTGTAGGAGTGAAGTGCTTGCATTAACACTAGTGTTACCTGATGAGTATGGTGCAAGAATACGGTAGAATGTGCAGCAGGAGGTTCTGCGGTAACATAAGAAAATCTGAAACCCTGGTAATGAAATCCTCCGCATAGTCGAGGGCTAAGAACAGATTGTGAAAGAGTCAGACTGAGCTAAATCATGTGGTCCTTGCTAGTGGTGATGTCTCGAGAAACAAAACGTGAAGAACTCTTGGAAGGACGGAATGCAAGGATACTTTGTAGCTATTTAAATCGAGACGGATATGGTCGTTCATGCTCTAAAGAGTAAAGAAAAAAGAAGGGCCAGCTAGTTCTTGTCCACGAGCCTCCATCACTTAAGTAAGCTTAGGTAACACCGCGAAGCTGGCTACTTCCCGAAAACCGGCTATTCTTGTACGTTCTCAAAAACTCTGTTGACCACGGCGATTGTGAAGCTCTCTGACCCCCTATTTTTTGAGGTAGCAGTATTTATTATGCATCTTCATTAAAATGTCTATCGTTGTTGTTCAGGCTCGAGAGTAACAACGCAATGGGATCCATTGTTTCTAAAAGCTCAGAATCTTTGCACAAGGTTAAGAAAGCTTAGGAATCTGAGATGTGGAAGGATACTACCACCTAATATCTGATTCAGGAAAAGTTTCAGGTCAAAATTTTCTGGCCACCTAAGCGCAATTTTTCTGGAAAAGGTCTCGTAGTCTGCAATAAGAGGACTCATCTACTACTCCAAAAATTTTCAAAAGTACTAATGTACTTTCTCCATAAGAGCTGCCCTGTATGGTTTTTTCTATCGCTTAGCAACACAAAAACAGATCCCGTACTATTTACCGGTACTTTCCCTCACTCATTGATATTTGTTTTCATTGTCCTTTACTGATCAAACATCCCAATAATACTGTATAAATAGTGCCCCTTGTGGACTATCATCAAAAGCTCATCGGCTTCGAATATGTTCTTCTACTTCCTCTGCGCTCTTCTTGTACTCAATGCCTTCACAAGTGACGCCCAAGTCACTCAGGTCAGTCTCAAATCACTCCTGTGTAGCACCAACGACTTGAGCATATAGTCATGTAGAAAATCATCTGAGTAACTCAAAAATATAAAACTCCCCCTTCA